GGATGTACAAGTACCGAGCCACGTCTAAAGGATATTACCAAAAATGGACCAAACAGTAAACGTTAATAATTTACAAAGACAAATAAAAGAACACTATAACACGTAATTAAGATGATAAACAACGTCAGTACCTAGAATCTATACATCAAGACCATCATGTATGAATACGGAATATTTATCACCAAGGTCTTGGCATCTTCCGATGAACTTTTTTTTTAGAAAAAGGACGAGACGAGAGTAAGCAGTCCCGGCTCCACTAATGACAACAGTCGTGTTGCTTAAGGGGAGAAAAAAGTTATAAGTTCTTTTGATATTTGTTTCGTGTGGATGTGATGTATACCAATTGGCTTCATTATAAATGGCAGAAGGTAATTTACTATTTGTTGAAACACCGTAAAATATAAGTTACATATGTGACCATGACTGTGTTCGTTCACGTTGAGAAGCAGCGTTGAAAATAACTAACATTCTTCAAGCTTTTTCGTGGCCTCTATAAAACATCCAGAACAACAATTTTGTCATTACAAACATTTGTTCTCTTGGTTGATAAAGCCTACCGTTTGATTTTGTCAGTTTTTGTGGACTTCCCCTTTTGAATTTGTCTTGTAGTTCTGTATTTCTGTTATACTTTTTGTACGAAGTAACAATATCCAAATCCCAAATACAGTAGTAGTCTTGTTGTCTACGCAGGTGTTGCGAGTTTTGAAAGTTTTTGGAATTGTTTTGTTGTGGTAAAAACTCAAATTAAAGAGATCTAATAAACAGGCTAAACGAAATATTGGAATGACATTTGCATTGCTGTTGATGTCTGATCTGTGGTAGTACATTTTTTGTCTAACCAGCTTTCTGTTTCACCGATATATTTAAACACGCAAAAGTTACACTCTAATCTAACTACGCAAAAGTTGCATTCTAATCCGTAAACAATAAAAGCTAATTATCAAGACAAATGATCGTAACCGTTTGTGAAGTAAGATGTTTTTTGTATATATCGCTGCATTGATCATTTGCAATTTACAGTTCTGTTCAGAATCATTTAAAAAAGTATCATGTAGTTGAATAGTACACGACGGCGTCCAAAAATAGTGCACTTGTGCGTCGGATGATAATTTGAAATATCCGAGTAGTTTGTAGTATATGTTGATAAAGGTCATCTGATTTTTCATACAAAACTGTGTCATAAAATTTGTATCAGTGCCTTTAAGTTTTGATATGTACATTAACGCAATTAAATTAGATACATTACAAGTGGCCATCTTGTCAGTTTGATTATTTAGGTATGAAGACTTGTCCAGTCCTAATTTAAAATCACGTACAACTCAGAATGAAAAGGCTTAGTGTGTCTTTGAACACTGTATTCAAAGATCTAAATGTTGCAAGACATAGCTGCATTCAAAATACACTGATATCGCTTCTGACACGGCCTTCAACGAAAATCGTGGTCTGCGGTTTCTGTCTAGTATATACCGATTGGAAGGTTAACGAAATGCACCTTGTGCGTACCAAATTATAGGCCTGGTATAGTTGATGAGTTTGTACATGCCCGTCTTACATGGTAAATCTGACCTAGACAACATTTTCATGGATCATAGGGCAATGTTAAGTTTTCATCATTGGGTCATATTTGTAAGATACTAAGTACTCGTACTATATATAAAAGGTCAACTTTGTTCAGTGTATAGAACTATTGTTAGCTGTATATGTCTGTCTGATGTAGGGTTTATCTGACCTTGATCTTATTTCATGTATAATTGAGAATATTGCGTCAGTCAAACAAGCAGGCGACTTTTAGCATTTGCACCCTTGTATTGCCAGGTTTCCGTAAAAATGTCAAGAAAATTTTAACAAAATTACTAGCATCTATTCTACTATCAGCAATGAAAAAAGAGAGTTATAAATGTAAATTCTGATCAAAATTAGAATGATGAATTTAAGCACATACAGAACAATCAAAGCCCCTATCCTCATGCAAAGACATTATACATTTGATTTCCCATTTTATTTATACAAGTATTAAAGACAGAAAAATATAAGTAGGTCAACTTTGTTCAATAAAAGAAAAGAATGTCCAATAGACCCCTATGTGTAAGTGACAAGTTTCGTATGTAAAATAGACTCAGATTCCGACAAAAACTGTAAACCTGACCGCCAAGATGATTGATTTTTATGTAAACAGCATAATTGTTACAGATTTGGACATATTTTTCAACAGACAGTCAATATTTAATTAGAACCTCATGTACTCATATTTCCATCTATTTGTTTCTTAGTTGGTACGAAGCAGGTTTTATACATGGCTCCTTAAAAGAATAAAACGAAGCTAGCACTTTTTGTGTACCTCGCTTCCTACTATATATGATAACCGTTTACCGAATTCAGTAGACATCTATCGAATAAAACAATGACGGTTATCACAGATACTGTACAGTTTGTCATATACCTTGATTTTTATCTTATAAATTAAACATCCGTAAACTACTGTTGCCTAAATTCATATACTTTGACTCGCATTTAAAAATTGAACTGAGAGTCGTTAAAAAAAAACTATCTACGGCGACTTGATGAAACTTTTATTTTTTTTCGTATTGTAAACTTTCTATTCTCTTGAACCTGTGTGTTTAGTTTATATGATATTCCCTTATTATTTTCTATAAGAATACTCATTATTGTGAATTTATTTTAACAATGAACATATTGAACCCTCTTCCACACTTCAACAGCTGTACAGGCCACGTATTGAACGACGTTGTTGAAAACCTGTGTCTTACCAAGAATATGTTCTATTGTCGAAGCTATAATCTAGCGATAGTCCTCAGTTTTTGTTCGTTAGCACGACTAGTGTCATTAGTAGAGAAGCAACTGCTTACTATTCCAGAGAACACTGGGTTTTAGTGGTCATTGTGTTGTTTTTTTCTTTTTTATTTCGTGTTGTTATTTTCTGTGATAACTTAACTTCTTATGGGACAGTTTCAGTTGTGTCGATCGTGATTTTGTTTACATTCCATGCACAAATGTTCGTATATACTTTCTCAATCGGTCAAGTATCAGGTTATATGTTAATTTGGTATTGTCTGAGAGTTAGACAAAAGATTGCCAGTCTATTAGTGTAATAATCTCTACTACGTACTATGTACTTTTAACGTGAGTTGATGAAATCTGAATTTTATAAACTTTAAGACTCTTAAATGCATCGGTACTGGATGGAATTCTTAGTCCTTTTTTATTCTTTTATGGTGTAAACGTTATGTCAAAATGAAGGAGTTATGTACGGGATAAACACATATTAGATAACAATCTCGTGAACTGCTCATTCGGACGCACGAAAATAATTAAATGTTATTTTCATTTACTAGCATTGGGTCGATACCACTGCTGGTGGACTGTTAGTCCCCGAGGGTATCATGAACTAAAGTCAGTGCTTCGGTACTGACATGATTTTAAACAAACTTTTTTTAAATTCTCAGTCAGTTAATAAATTCAGAAATAATTAAGAAACAAAGGTTCCAACTCCTTCAGGCAAAGCTGATTTTAGATGAATTTTCCTATTTTTAGGTCCCTTTTGAACATATAGCTCTTCAAGTATTTTTTTACTAAAACATCCTTGGCTTTCAAATATTTTGGTTTGCGCGTTCCTGATGAACGTTATCAATACTACAATACCCTTCCCTTTTCACGAATGTGACCTAACGAATTAGACTATTTACCGGATTTGTAATAACATAAGCAACACGACGGGTGCCACACGTGGAGCAGGATCTGCTTACACTTCCGGAGCACCTGAGATCACCCCCAGTTTTTGATGGGGTTCGTGTTGCTTAGTCTTTAGTTTTCTATGTTGTGTCATCTGTACTATTATTTGTTTGTTTGTCTTTTTATTTTTGGCCATGGCGTTGTCAGTTTGTTTTCGATCTATGAGTTTGACTGTCCCTCTGGTATCTTTCGTCCCTCTTTTATCTTAATAAAGCGCTTCAGAGGCACGAAATCAGTAAAACGTTATTTTCATTAGGAAATAATCCTTGTTTCTGTGTAACAGATGTACGTTGGCATAATACTGTAACAAAATAATAAACAATAACACATTTAAAACCTTGACGCAATTTAATATCATAATAATAATAACGGCAAGCAACAAGTGATATTAGACAAACAACTGGTGATAAAATATATTGATGATACATAAAAAAAACTATATGCATTACACATTATAAAGTGTCAACCTGCTTCAAATATGGCACTCCTTTAACATTGTCATAACTGTAAACATGTAATCCAACAAAAACTAAAATGTAACATTTAACAAGATATGCAAACAACGGGAAAACATAGGGGTTTACTAACACTGTTGATAGATTTTTCACTAGGAATAAAATACTGTAAAATAACTAATTTTCGCGAGCGATTTATTTTCGCAAATTTTCGCGAGTAGAAAAATAACCCAAATATAAATCGTCGCGGTTAACTTGGATCTTTTCTTATTTAATGAGTAGTTTAGTTTCTCAGTGGATAACAACGCCAAAGAAAAAATGTCACTATGTAGAGTAGAGTGGTCCTTCAAAAATATAATAACGTAACATTAATGAAGAAACCCATGTGAGGATGACCATAGAAAGAGGAGTTTTTAATGTACTATGACGCATTAACAGTGATATTTTTAACAATGAACAAATCATACCCATGGTTAAAAATCAACCACTGTATTGGTAGTGTTTGTATGGTAAACATGTACGTTGATCTAGATTTTGATTTTAGGTAGTGATCATATATTGATCGGTCAGTGTCTCGTGCATCTTTAAGTATTTTTTCTCTCATCCGTATGGAGAAGAATGACGTAAAAAGGTTTAGCTATTAACATTTAACCTTTTTCAAAATGTATCACGAAATCACTGACCTCACGCATAAATGTAGGAATTTAGAAAACCGATATTCAACAAACATATATTTATCTTCGAGCTGTTTTTTTTTTTTCTTTCTCATCTGTCTTGTTGCAGTTGTACATGTCAAATAGGACTCAAAGAATTTAACTGTAAAAGGAAACAAACAGCAATTATATGCTTCTTGGAATGTGCAAATCTTTACCAATACATTGCTTTTTCATTAAAAAGACCTCAAATAGTCGTCCTAATATCGAAAGAGTAGGATTAAGTAATTACATGTTATACAATAAATAAAAGTAGACGGGGTAGACGTTAACGAGACAGCAAACAAACGTCACCCAGAGAGTAACACACAATCTCAAACAACGAAACGTGTCCGTACAAAATGTCAATCTCATCATCGTCTCAGTAAAAAAAGTGAATAAATTTAACAGAACCAATTAAATCTCCGCAATCATCACACATTCTCCAATAGCAAAAAACAACAAGATATGGCATAAGACAATCACTGACGAGGTAGTGCAGCATCCTGTTGAACATATTTACATCTAACAGAATGCAAAGGTAGATCGTCTTAACATAAGCTTTGACATCGGAAAATTGTGTGAACACCTATAAAAAAAGTGACCAGTGTATTCTGGCTCAAATGTAATCACTCGTATTTATTAATTTATAAAAATATTGCAGCGTTGAGCATAAGTAATTCATTTGCCAATGACAAACCATATTTCTGACGATTCATAAAAAATCTTTCCACAAACTTATTAAAGCGAATTATAATTTGTGATAATCAATAATTGTAACAAGACTCACAAATGCATGCCACTGCCCTCTTGTGTCTATAAGGTTAAGTTCGTGTCTTCCGATGGGAAGTGTTTTTGTGTGGCAATAGAGGGTGCACAATGTCATTTCGTAGAGAAAAATTTGGAAAACTTCATTAGAATCGAATCCTGCAACATAACAGATGCATATCCCCCTGTCGTTAAAATGTCAAAGTCATTGTTTTCTGATGAACCACCAAAATCATCCAGACAAAGTTTAAAGTAGAAGTGTCTTGGTTTGAACAACCATACCGACGCCCTTCAGTGAATCAGGCAAGGTCTATGTTTTGCTATTGGAAGCCAAAAAATCATTTATATTTACAAATCGATATAGGAGGAACACGGTTTCGTTAGGTCTTAAAAATATTTTATTGTTCTGTCAAATCATGGAACTGTTATAGGAGGATTTGCAAATTTTAAGTGCGGACGGACATATGAACGAACAGAAGAAAATTCACTAAACTCCTGCTTTTATAAGCTGATGGAGAGTAATACAGCTATTGAACTTACATCACATCTGCCTCTCTAAGCAAAGGGAAAGTAATGGGGATATTAAACCTACGTCACATCCTCTGCTCTAAGCTAGTGGCCGGTGATAAGATACAGTAAACTCTCGTTTTAAAGCTATTCGTTAATCAGGCATTATTCAGCTTACAATCTCCTTCAGTGAAATGAGTAAATAATTACAAATTACAAGGACGACAACTTGGTGGCAATGAAAGTACACAACACTAAAATGCATAGATTATAAATATGATACATTTGAAAATTTCGGAAGATAAAAAAGTAAATTTCTCATTCTGTTTCTGCCTTTTGACGTCTCTTCGATGTTTCGTTGTCTTGTTTGTGTTATCAACCTTCATTCTACTTTTAAATGGTAGTATGTATGCTCACAATTTCCTTGTTAAGGAAATGTTACAAATACTATAGTCCATTTTTATAATACTGAGTTCAATCCTTTGAATATCTTCAAAACGTTAACCTGAAACATATGTCTACTTGTGACAAGATTCTACTCTGTTGTTTGAAATGCACCAATTAATATCACAACCGAAAAATACCAAACATTAATGAAGGAAGTAAAGTGAATATACATGTTTGAAATGTAAACAATCGGTTTGCAGTATTGCATCCATCATGATCACATGTTTCTAGACATCCATTAATTCGCTCTGTACCCGAGTCGCCGTTTGTATACATGATGTCACCACAATGGCTGCCCCAATCATTGTCACCACACTGCCGAACTAAGATTTCTGTTCCATCCTCTACAATAGAAAAAAAAAACAAACTCATAATAGATACCAGGCTTTAAATTTTGCACGCCAGACGCGCGTTTTGTCTGCAAAAGACTCATCAGTGACGCTCAAATCAAAAAAGTTAAAAAGGCATGATAAAGTGCGAAGTTGAAGAGCATTGAGGACCCAACATTGTTGGAAATATTCGCAAAATTATGTGAGAAATATTGAGCAGAACGACAAATAAATACATGACTTACAGGGTCAACTAACATTCGAAATAAAAATAGACGTAATAGTTGAAAATCGTTATCAAATTAAATTGTGGCTAATTCCTATTATTATTGAAAATTAATGAAGTTTTAGTATGACAGAGTCTACATTCTTGTCAACTGAGTTTTACTGTTCGTATTGCTGTGTGTTTACTTATTCCACATCGGCTAGAGGTATAGGGGAGGGTTGAGACCTCACAAAACATGTTTAACCCCGCCGCATATCTGCACCTGTCCCAAGTCAGGAACCTCTAGCCTTTGGTGGTCTTTTGTTTTTTAAATTTTGTTGGTTTATATGTTTCGGAGTTTAGTGTGGCGTCAATTTTGCTGAACTAGTATACATTATTGTTTATGGGCCAGCTGATGCCCGCCTCCGGGTGTGGGATTTTCTCGTTGCGTTGAAGACACATTGGTGGCTCTGGCCTTATTTCTGCTCTTTGGTCGAATGTTATCTCTTTGACACATTCCACGTTTCCATTCTCAGTTCTACATTGTATACATGAAAAGTTCTATTGAATGTATTTTTGAAAGAATAATGTAAGGTGGTTTTTTTCACAAAGTAAACGTCCAAAATCTGACACATCGGAATCTATTCAAATGTGAATTTTAGTGAAAATTGAAAACATTTAAACATATGGGCATGGCGTGAAATAAATTACGGGGTTTTGGTCCAACCTTTTGCCTTGGAGAATTCTTTTCTTTTCATTGGTTTCTTTGTAGGATTGATTTTAATTTTGTGTAGTGTGTGTTAAAATGTAGAATAAGTGAAAACATTCCGGGAGGATAACCGGTCATCGTCGATATGGGGCCATTGTTGTGAAAGAGAATAATATAACTGAAATGGAGTTAAAGGTAAATGTGGTGGACAGTAATAATAAGTGCAAATAAAAATATGTTCAGTCATATTTATATACGCATTCATTTCCCTCGTATGCATAGGTATTTGCGTTAAAATGCCCTTTAAAAGTACGAAGTTGAAGAGCATTGAGGAACTAAATTTCCGAAAGGTTTTGCCAAATACGGCTAAGGTTATCTTTCCTGGGGTTGATAATCCTTAGTATTTTGAAAAATTCAAAGTTTTGCGAACAGTTAATTTATAATTTTGACCATATCAATTATAATTCATGTCAACACAGAAATGCTGGCTACTGGGCTGGTGATACCCTAGGGAAGGAACCTCCACTAGAAGTGGCATCGACCCAATGGTCGTACCTCAACAAAAGACTCATCACTGACGCTCGAATTAAAAAAGTTAGAAATGCAAAATAAAGTTCGAAGTTGATGGGCATTGAGGACCAAAATTTCCGAGAGGTTGGTCAAATACAGCTAAAGTAATCTATTTTTTTTTCAATGTATTTTTTCATATTTCCTTATTTTTTTCCTTGACCAAAGGCTTTAGTAATAACAGATACAACAGAGTAGTACTTGAGCATACACCTATTCAATTCATTCGTCTGTTGTAAAATATATTTGCAATATCTTCATACAACAATATATCAGCAACATGTTCCAATGCACTGACACCGAGGCTAACTTTATTGTAATTAATTTTATATTGGTACATTGTCGATCAATCATTTGTATTCTGCGCTCCATATTAGGATTCTAATCGATCAATGGAATTGCCAAATTATAACAGTAAAGCATTGAATCTATGGAACATGTATTAATAATATAAGATCTGACTCAGCTCTTATTTATGCAAAATTAACAGTTTCTGAAAGAGATTTGAAAAATAGATAATCTTTCATTGTCATCGAAATGATCAATTAATAATGCTTGTGTCGTGAGAACTATTCTAGGGAAAAGATAGACTGGTGCAAATTGTTTCTAAAGATGATCCATTTCCTGGGTGAATATCAAAATCTAAGATCCATTATATCAATAACAATAGGTGCATTTTTATTATCTTTCCGATTTTTAAACGCCTACTATATTTGTTTCTAGAAGCTGACAACTGGAAATTAAGGCCTGTAATTGTCAATTTTCTGAGTAGCTTAAACATACGAATCAATGGAGTTTACGTTTTAAAATTGATCGCAGTTGGAGTTAGATTGAGATAAAAATTAAGTTGAAAAGTATCCTGTGGATGAACGTAATTATTTTTAAAAAGAGGTCGTTGTTCCGCAGTTATTTCCAAAAGGAAAGTTGCCATCATAAAAGGGATAAAATTTGATCAAAAAGCATTTATTTACTTTGATCATGAGTTTCCCAATATTTTTGCATTAAATTTTCATTCAATATCAAGTATTTATATATGCAGATTTAGAAGTCCGAATTTTCTTAAATATAAATTTTCATGCGTAAGCCTTGGACAATTCAATATACTTAAATTACGATCAACTATAGTCGTAAAATTGTTTTGTGAAACGCATGACAGGTTTTGATTAGATAGTCATAGTAGGTTCCATCATATTATTTAACAACATATGGGAAGTGTAAAGAAAATTATACTTATTCATAATGCATCTAAAAGTTTTACATTTTATATCCGCTGTCATTTGATTTTCAATTGTCCTTGTAATGCCATCAAGACGTTTGACTGTTGAAGACGTTTGAGTAATTGTATTTTCAAAAGTCGATATTGGAACCGATATGTTGGCAAAGAAGATGTTCTTTGTTCTTTGGTTTTTTTATTTTTTGTTTTTTTTTGTTTTTTTTTTTTGTTTTTTTTGGGGGGGGGGGCGGTGATTATAGCTGTTGAATGCGCATCTTTAGACTACGCATAGTTCATATCTCGCTTCTGTAATTTCAAATGACGTGAGCAATCATCGTGTGTCACCACCGTATCAACACTACATAACTAAATTTATCCCGGATTAACTTCGGGTCATTTTTTTTTACTACCGTTTATATTTTGCACAAAGCCAAACGGACTAAATATTATATATTAATATCTAATATTTGATGTTCACTTGTATATCAATTTTTCAATAATCTTGCTACATACTGACTTCCAAGTGGTTTGCTTTAAACAAAACCAGTAACAAGGCATCATGATTATGTGAACACATTCCACTTTCCTGTGATAATATATGCTGGAGACACACTCCTCAATACGGATCTAAATATTTGTCTTATTCTCCTATATGTGTTTCACTCACAGGGTCAAAATCAGAAAGTTTTTTAAAGATACTGGAATTTGAACATTTAAGGGAGATTTTGTAAGTGTTTGCACTTTTTTTTTTAATATATCCATAATATCAAAATGTTATTTAGCACTTCACATTGCTGTTGAAACGATATTTCAAATTTAAAAATTCATTATTTTTTTCAAATTTAATGCCAATATTTTTCTACAGTAGAAATTTGGTTTGCTTAAGATTGTACTTATTCGTCGATAATTTCCAAAATTTGTCAAAATATATCAAATATGCAATGTGTATCCAACTTGAGGCATGTATGGTCACATGTTCCAGAATATTCCAAATGTTTATTAAAAAACCTTTAGGTACAGGTACGAATGTTTGATACTATGAATTTAAGTAAGATTGAAGGACTTTTCAAAAATGGCTTTGATGTTAAATACATTCAGCGAAGTTGGTTCGACCTATTGATTAGATATACTGATTTGTTTGAGATATGTTTATTTACTTTGTAATCCTGGATTTCATCAAATGACTGTTGATTCGATGCTAATTAAGTGTAAAGATAAAACCTTTTGTAGGTACTTTTTGGACATAAAAACCTTATTTCCACTTGACAAACGATAACAACTCAATATTACAAAGTTCAAGATTAAACATCAAAGCATTCCTATATTCAGAGGCTGATAATATTTATTGAAAGAAAAATAACATCATATTGGGTTAAGCTCTATAAAACTAGACGAAGAAAATGTACTAAAATATATTATGTTCAAAATACAATGTCCAAATTTGATCAGCAACTTACGAAAACCTTAAAACCTTTTAAAAAAAGACAATTAACAATATAAAATGTTCCTCTCTTGATGTGGTTCAATACTTTTGTTGTTGACTATATCTGTGGTAAAGGTTAAACAATTAGGGAATATTGTTTCCCGCGTGTATGCTATTCGAGGATTGCGTATGTTTCCCTTGTGTATGCTATTCGAGGATTTCGTAGCAAATCTTCAAGGCATTACAATCTATATGATTGGAGTTTTTATCTGTTTATTATAAAGCAACAAATTTTTTATGATATACTGATAAAATTAAGTAGACATTTCTCTCAATAAGTACATATGTAATGTTTCATCTGATATGGAAATATTGGCAACACAGTGTCCCCAAAGGAACAGTAGTTACACAATGTTTCTTTTAAGTATAAATGTAAGCAGCGGATATACAGTTTACGATATCCAAGGGTCGCATTAAAAAGATTGCATATGTTACGTGCTGAAACTAATAATATAAATGATAAAAGAACATAATAAAACCGTTGATGCGTTAGATATGAGTAAGTATTAAAGTTTAAAAGACTTTTCATAGAATCCTAAGGCATTTCAATTAAAAAAGGTCAAAAGTTTGAATAGTTTGTTTAGGACTTAATCCTCCCAATTTTCATTTCGACTAGTCAAATTACCATCAACTTGATAAACAATCAACACAGACAGGTAAGGGAGTGCATATTAAGGATGATTTTTTTGTTTTATGATAGAGCGATTTTCATTTGAATTTTTTTCTGACGCACTCAGTATAGTTTCGATTTGTTACACTTGACCTTAATGGTGACAAAACATAGTAATAACCTTTTCGCCGATCTTTTCCTTGATTGGACGAAAATGATGTCATTGTT